AGGAGGATATAGTGAACCTCTAGGGACTTCATTTGATAGCTCCCGACTTCTTAAATCTCAGAAGTCCCGATAATATTAACCTTAGCTTACAACTTTAAGGTCTACAGCTAAAGTTGTAACAAGATGAGAAGAGCAGTGTTTCAAAACATCTAGCAATATAGCTGAAGAAAGCCTGAAGTAGTTCATATTACAGTAATAGTAAGCAACAACAAAGCCAGTAAAAGCTCAGTGAACATGCTTCGAAGCCCATGATTTTTTTTACATCAAAGAAGGCAGGCATTTGGTATTTCAAAAAATCTAATAAAATGCTGGTGTTGCAGCCAGCTTTTCAGAGTTAAAAGTAGTAAATGTAATATTCCAGAGAATTCAGAGACTTCTAACTATTCCACATTAGAACTACATGAACATGGTTTAGTCAGCATTTTGTGCACGTGTCTCAGGTTTTACATCTAATAACACATGCAAGGGAAAAGTCTTGGAGGGCTCTATTATATAATAATAAATATACTATTTGAATGGTACCCTTAATCTCTATACTGATGGTTGTAGCAAAGTATTAAAATCACATAATTTTGTACTAATCGTCCACCACTCCTGCTACTCTCACTTCCCACCCCCCACCCCCCTTTACCATGAGACCCTTCCCCCCTTTCCAGTTGTGAAGAAGCAGAATCCATTCCATTCTATGACTGTCAGTTAATAACAACTTAGGGGACACTGGCAACTAACATATAATAGAACTAGTGAAAAAGTAATCCTTATTGAATTGCACAGCAGTTTAACATGATAACTCAATTTCCTTCACTGAGAAGTCTTCTGGAAATCAGTTCTTCCTGCACCTTTTATGTTTAAATATAACACTAGACTCTACTTTGTTCCGTGTAGGAAAGCCATCCCTTTATCATTTAATAAAATGGAGCACTATGCTTCTTTTACTTAGTTCTAGCAATTTTAAGGTGCTTTCTTAAAGCAAGGCTTTAGGAATACTCTCCAAATTACTTTTGTTACTTTGTTGTATAAGATGGTGGAAAGTATAAAATAAGAAAGTTTTGCTGATACTTTGTTTTTACTTCTACTTTAATATGTTGTGTGACAGTGCCTTCTTGCTGGCAGCAATTTGTCATGTACTGTTTGAAGGCCAGGTTAAGGGACATACCTTAAGGGGTTTAAAAATATTCCTGCCAAGAAGGTGCAGAACGAAGAGACCACTAATTGTAAACTAATGAATTAGTTTGTTTTTTAAAAAAATCAGTTAATGAATGGAAAAAAATATACTGAAAAGGCACACAGGGAATGATGGCCTTTTCCCATTTGAATATATGTTCCTTAGGAGGTATCTTTCAGGTATGTCTCTAAAAGAATGTATCAAGGGCTTCCCTGGTGGCTCAGTGGTTGAGAGTCCGCCTGCTGATGCAGGGGACGCAGGTTCGTGCCCCAGTCCGGGAAGATCCCACATGCCGCGGAGTGGCTAGGCTTGTGAGCCATGGCCGCTGAGCCTGCGCGTCCGGAGCCTGTGCTCCACAACGGGAGAGGCCACAACAGTGAGAGAGAGGCCTGCATACAGCAAAAAAAAAAAAAAAAAAAAAAAAAGAATATCAAAATAAACAACTTGGGTTGTAAAGGTGTAAGGTATATTGAATCCTTTGTAGTGAGTGTTTAATTTTTTAATCAGTCCTAGTGTAATTTTCATAATAGACTGTATATGATGTGTGTATCATTTTATAGATACTTACATTAGGAATGGCTGTTCTAATTTGCTGAGCTGGGTGCATGAACTATGTATGTAGATGACCAAATGAATGTTAACGTCCTCTTTCTGTTCTAGAATTTACATAGTACATGATGAAGTTAAGGATAAAGCTTTTGAACTAGAGCTCAGCTGGGTTGGTGAAAGTAAGTTATTTTTCTACATTTATTTGCTCTCAGAGTCATCTGTACCAAACCTAATGTACTACTGGGTGCCTTATTTTTTCTTAAAAACAACAAAAAATTAGTAATGGTGTGTACACATATAAGAGTACACAAATAACAAATGAATTGATAACTGTCACAACATGGATACATTCATGTAAATACTGCTTTGGTCAACAAGTAGACCAGCCCCCCCAGATCACCCCTTAGGCTTCTCCCCAGAGGTAACCACTATCCTGAATCCTAACACCATAGTTCTTGGCCTGTTGTTGAATTTTATATAAATGGAATTAGACATTATGGATTCTTTTGTTCCTCATTTCTTTTCACAAAATTATATTTGTGTAAATCAGTTTTGTTACATACAGTAGTATTTTTGTTCATTTGGCTTGCTGTACAGTGTTCTGTTGTCTGAAAATAACACTTTATTCATCTCCTCTTCTGTTGTTACACCGTTAGGCACTTTCCAGTGTTTGTTTACTGTAAAATGAACAATGCAGCTGTGGACATCTTGTACATCTATCGTGGTACACATATGTAGTAGCATTTTAGAAATATATGTTAAGAGTGGAATTGCTGGGTCATGAAATAGGCACACATTCAACTGCAATATTGGCCACAATGTGTTCTGACCACTGGGTGCCCTTCTAATACAAACAGAGCCAGAACAAATTTAGGAGGTACTCTATTTTTGAAGGAAAAGCTCTGCTTAATAATTGACTAAAGCTGTGACTAGTTTATTTACTTTTTTTGAAACATCCATTGCATTTTTTTTTTTTTTTTTTGCGGTACGCGGGCCTCTCACTGTTGTGGCCTCTCCCGTTGTGGGGCACAGGCTCCGGACGCGCAGACTCAGCAGCCATGGCTCACGGGCCCAGCCGCTCCGTGGCATGTGGGATCCTCCCGGACCTGGGCACGAACCCGTGTCCCCTGCATCGGCAGGTGGACTCTCAACCACTGCGCCACCAGGGAAGCCCCATTGCATATTTTAAAAAAGAATTACTGGGAAATCACCATTTTTCTTTTTAGCATGGCAACTGTAGGGCTTCAAGGACAGCTTTTAAAATCTAACCATGCTGTGAATGAATGCTCAGGACTTAATAGCATCAGGATAAATCTTAGCATAATGTATTCTTTATTATAAGAGCTAAATTTGGGGAGATTTAATATGTAGGGAAAACACACAAAGATGAGTTCAGAGAATCTGGTATTACACTTGTAGATTGGCTAGATTATATGGTATTTGCAAATCACAATTACAGTCCTTGTTTTTAATTCATTTAAATATATGGCTTAATTTACAGTAACTAACGGAAGACATGAAATTGTTCCAAAAGATATAAGGGAAGAGGCAGAGAAATATGCCAAGGTAAGCCACAGCATGAAAACGATTCTAGCTGAAGATATGGAGATACGTTGAATTTTATTAAATAACCCTTAAGAGTTGAGCTGAACTGAAGGATGAAAACTTTCTAGGTTATCCTCAATGGGGATAAAGTTGCCCTGGTTCCAAAAAAAATTTTTTTTGTGCTTGTGAAAATGGCAAAGTTTTTTCAGGACATTTAATGCTTTCATACTGTGTGTATCCTATCAAGAATATAGTCATTGATTGTTACAGCAAGATGTATTTTAGTTACCCGTTTCTTTACCTGAATGTCTTATTCTAAACCAGTGTTCATTTTCACTTACAAAGAATTTTAATGACAAGTGCTTAATTAGATTCAGGCTGTTATAGCAATGCTAAAAATTGATTTTAAACACTTTTCTCTTTAACAGGAATCTTTGAAGGAAGATGATGAATCAGATGATGATAACATGTAACATTTACTTCGTTTACTTCTATTTAACTATTTAGCCCTTTGGATTAATACATACCCACTGATAAACTTTCATTAAATCTTTGTCTTGTAACGACTGAAGTTTGGTTAATATCTGCTTGACAAAATTGGTGGGGGTAGCTGAGCACATATTTATTCAGCATTAGGATGCTGCTTTATGCCTGTTGTAAAATTCCTTGCTCTGGAATCAGATTAATTCAAAACTCCATTTCTTCACTCATCTATAACCTAAAGATCATATCCTGCTGGGCTGTTGTGTAAAAAGTACCTACCAACTTTGTAGGCAATTGATGCCACTGCCCAATTTTGTATTTAGTGAGATGATTGTCGGTCATCAGACACTGTTAATCTTTAGAATTTTATTTTTTTTTTTACTTTGAGGAGTGGATTTAAGGATTCAGAAAGCCCCTATCCTGTCACTTAAAGAATTTCTTGATCTGTAAAGTTGAAATAAAAATACCCACATTTTATGCTTAAAAATAAATTAGAATGCATGTGGAAACAGAACTGATACTGAGTGGAAAAATGAGTATTGGAAGAAACAGTCTGAACTCAGGCCAAGCGTGCCAGGCGTACACACACCCTTTATTGGCCTCATGCCAGTATCACTCCATTCAACTGTCATGCTTTCCTGAGGTCACTGAGTTTATTAGCAGCAGGGTGTTGCCGGACTTTGAGCATCTGTATAGTTTAAACAGCAAATCATTATACCAGAATACTTAACTACTATACAAACAACTCAAGAGCAGTATCTCATTACCATGGCTGCTTTTATGTAAAATTACCTGCTACATCTTACAACCCGTATATTTAACTCAGAATGACACCAGTGGCCTTGGGCAGACACCTAAACAACTTAAGCTGGATGGATAATAAGTTGAGTATCCCTAAGCCAGTCTGACCATTCTATACTTTTCCAACTTCCAAAGTATGAATGGCACATGAATCTTCTATTTTCATTGTACTGTGAGTACCTCTGTTCTTAAATTCACATTGGAATAGCTAATAATCCTCTTTAAAAAAACAGACAATGGTTCTAAAGAAACTTAAATCTGAGCAGCTAAGCCACCTCAAAAACATATATCAGATAAATCTAAAACTAAGCTTCTCAGCTATTAGAAAAGAAAAGCAATTGATTTTCATAAAACTATACAAAGGATTAATAAATAATCTAGGTTCAGCTGTAGGGGCACTTCGTAACTGCACCACTGAGGCATGATTAGCCTCTGGGGGGAAAAAATGGCTGGCACATTTTACTTTGACAAGATAACAAATTTATTTTCAGCAAAGACTGAATACCTTATTACTGTAAACCTCGATACTGGTACCTAGGAAAGAAAATTACAAACGTTTTAAAGAATAAAGTTTTGGTTTAGAGATTACAAATAATATTGGGTTGGCCAAAGAAGTTTGTTCGGATTCTTCCATAACATCTCTTCTATTCCACATTATTGTACAGTATCCAATTTTCATTGCCCATCACAATTTGTTTTTAAAAACGGAATGTTTTCGTTACGTAAGTAGAGAATCGCAGTGCAGAAATATGGTCGTTTCTTTCGCTTAACGTGGAACCCAAACATCAAAGCAATTAACATAACCAAGCTGGTGCGAATGATTTTCAACACCTGATTTGGAGATTTTGAGTGTGTCGGCTTATCTCCTGCGTGGTATAACGTTGATTGTTCTGAAATTTACGTCTCGATCTGACTGCTATCAACTTGAACTGGTCTCCCCGACCATGGAGCATCGTCCAGTCAGAAATCTCTACCACAAAACTTTGCAAACCACTTTTGACACGTTCAGTCACGGCACCTTTTCCATACACTGCACGAATGTTTTGCCTTTTCAGTTGTGTTTTAACCTTTCTTGAATAATGCATAATATGCTGCTGTTTTTTTCCTTCCATCTTCAATATTAAAATGGCTACACAAAAATTCACCAATTTTGATGCTTTTTTTAAAAAAGTACGCTGATATGACAGCTATCACAATACAATCTAACAAAATTGTTTCAAATGAAGTTAAAGACAACTAAGCACTACTAAAGCCATCTTATGGAAGAAACCGAATACATTCAGATAAAAAAGCACTTATCTGATAAGACTATCCCTTTGCTTTCATTTCTATCATTCTCAAAGGAACCTGAAAAATAAATGAGAAAAATAAAGTTGTAGGTCCTCAATATGTTTAACTGATTGAAACATTAAAATACTCTTCAAATTAAGATTTGAAAAGCAAATTAAGGTTACAAATTAATATCTCGTTAAAAAAATCTATCAAAATGCTACTAAGAAATCAGAAGAAATCCACAAATGAAAAAAATGAAGTCTTAATGTAAAACAATTCTAATGCTGTTCCTCACCTTGGAAATGAAACCCAGGAGGAACCTTTTACTTTCCTGCGCTCTACCACATCCATATTGTATTTACTGTGCCTAGGCTATCTCTTAACTGGTCTTTCTGAAGGACTCCCACCACCTACAAAAGCAAGCCTTCTGAAATGATTGACAGATTTCTCCCTCTCAAAGCCCTTTACACGTTTCCCTCTTAATAGTTTTCAAACTTTTTTTTTTTAAAAGGAACTCCGAAATATGAAATAAGAGTGCAGCCTACTCTTAACCCCAACCAAGTAGAAGCTTTTGTTCCACCATTGACCATGTGTATATATCTATTACAGTGTTTACTATAGTAAAATTTACTATAATTATATAAATGTATTCCTCCTCCCTCACCCTCCCTTGGGAGTTGTTCAAGAAATCATCTTTGTATCTCTACTGGTGAGCACACAGTATGTAATCAAATGCTAAAGGTATGTATTTTTAAAACTAAAATAACTCATACTAGTTAACTACAGGGTGAGATATTCAATATATTTAAAAACACTGGTTCACTACTGTATTGATCAGAGGCTTCTAAATTAAGACAAACGTGGTTTAAAACGATTTGAACAGATCTGAAAAACCTAAGCTCAGGAAACATAAACTTTGGGGGAATCAATTCTTTTATACCATCATGATAATGGGATTTTTCTTGTTAAAAAAAGTTGGGGCTGCTTCTCTGTCACCATTGTAACCACAATTTCAGAAAAAGAAAACCAGCATCATAATTAAAACCAGGATAGTGGTTTATAAGCTAACGTAGGTTTCATACTGGCTTTGTCACTTAATAATTGTGTCACCTTGGGCAAGTTACTTATTCCCTCGTCTATAAAATGAGGATTATGTACCACTTTTAAAATGACATCAAAAACAGGAATACTTAGATATAAATTTAAATTTGTACAAGATTTTGTGTTGAAAATTATAAAATGTTGGTGAGAAAGTGAACTATATAAACAAACTGATCAGAAGACTCAGTATTGTCAGTTCTCCTTAAACTGATTTATAGATTCAACCCAATCAAATTTGCAAGAGGGTTTTTTTTTGGGGGGGGAGGGGTGTGTTTGTGGAAAGAAATCAACAAGCTATTTCTAAAATTTATTTGGGAAAAGAAATTAGAATAGCCAAAACAATTTCAAAAGAGAAAAAGTTACAAGGCCTATGCCATCTGATTTCAAGACTTACTATAAAATTAATGTAATATTATTAATGGAAAAGAATAGAGTCTAGAAATAGAAATATATGGTTAATTGACAAAGGTGCAAAGGCAAATCAATGCACAAAGATAGTGTTTTTCCACAAATGGTGCTTGAACAACTGGACACCAAACACCAAACCATACCTTGTACCATATACAAAAATTAACTCAAAGTGATAAGTCAAAATGTATCTCAGGGCTTCCCTGGTGGCGCAGTGGTTGAGAGTCTGCTTGCCGATGCAGGGGACACGGGTTCGTGCCCTGGTCCAGAAAGATCCTACATGCCGCGGAGCGGCTGGGCCCGTGAGCCATGGCCCCTGAGCCTGCGTGGAGCCTGTGCTCCGCAACGGGAGAGGCCACAACAGTGAGAGGCCCGCGTACCGCCAAAAAAAACCCAAAAAAATAATATACCTCAAAGTCTAAAACTTCTGGATGAAAACAGAAAACCTTTGTGACCCTGGTTTAAAAAAGAGCTCTCAGATACTACACCAAAAGCATGATACATAAATGAAAAAAACTGACAGTGAATTTCACCAAAATTAAAAGCTTCTGCTCTCCTTTAAGAGAATGAAAAAAAACTCTAGACAAAATATTTGCAAATCACATATTTGACAAAGGATATTTGTCCAGAATGTATAAAGAACTCTCAAAATTCAACAACCCAATATTTAAAAATGGGCAAAAGACTCAGATAATTCATATTACAAATAAAACTAATGTTCCTTCTTTAACCATCCTAACCCTGCAAGAGGTAATCACCAGATTATGTATATCCTTCCAGGCAATAAATATTAATTCTTTCAAAGAGTAAATGCTAGTGTAATTATAAAGATGTTGAAGAGCAAGGGTACTCACACACCTTGAGTCTGTGTTTGAAGTGTATGATTTGGAATTTGATTTTGATTTTTACTATGTGGAACCATGAAGTGGAATTTTAGGAAAAAGTCATTTAAATAAGTTGAACTATATGATCCATATGAGATTTATTAAAACTTTTTAATTTTTTTAGGAAAAGCCAATAGGCTTCAAGATATAATATGGTAGAATCTGACATATAAAGATGATAACCTACCTTTAGTAGACCGATTGGTTTAAGAGTCAGCAGCAACCAAGTGATAGTAAAGATTCAATGCAAAAATTTAGATGTCTAAAATGGATCATACTGCCAGGAAAGATTTAAAAAAAATAATATGCAATTCTTTCCCCAGTGGGAAAAACAGACACATTTAAAAATCACTAGGAAAGTATATTAGAAATACATGGGGACTTCCCTGGTGGCACAGTGGTTAAGAATCTGCCTTTCAATGCAGGGGACGTGGGTTTGATCCCTGGTCAAGGAACTAGATCCCACATGCATGCTGCAACTAAGAGTTCACATGCCACAACTAAGGGGCCTGCTGGCCGCAACTAAGACCCGGCACAACCGAAATAGTAAAATTAAAAAAAAAATACTATATTTCATATCCATTAAAAAAAAAGAAATACATGTTCATGTATTATTAAGTATACATAGCCTGTATGTATATACTGACCATAAATGTGTACTCTGAGAAGGGGGGAGCAGGGGAGAAGATAAATCCTGACAAGGAATTTTGGACAGTTCCCTGGATATCTGGTGCATTAGCTCTCCAATTCAGTGAACTGGATGAAAAACTAAGGATGACAATAATAGGAAAAAATCTGAGATGTCAATAATTGAAACAAAGTAAAAAAACTAATCCATATAAGAATATGAAGAACAGAATTTAGATGGGCGTGCACGTAAGTTGATAACTGTTTCTCCATCTTGTTCAGAGACCACCCGCATAAGAATTCTCCATGGATTTGAATTCACCAGATCTGAAGCGAGGCCCAGGAATCTGTATTTTGAACAAACAACTGATGTAATGCTTATGAATACACTAAAATTTGAGAATCACTGATTTGGACACAGCTTATTAAAATGAGAATACAGCAACAGAATGGTTATTAAAGGGTTTCAAGAAAAGAGATTTCTGATATATAGCAAAATGGAGGATGAAGCTGTAGGGCATGATGGGTACTTGGGAAAACTTTTTTCCATTGGATTTTTAAAGAAATACATGTCTCAGAAATAGGAGCACATAACTAGATGATAAAAAGAGAAGTACCTGATAGAAACTTTATAATAGATGGTTTCTAATACCTTATGACTCAGCATCAGTTCTCTCACCATTTCCAACATGAGGGTGGACAAAGAGCCAGGGAGCTGATAAAGAAGAAAATGCATATGAATTCAGAGATTAAAAAGCATCTTTTATATTTTACTGACAGGTCAAGAGAAAGAAAAATAGCTCCGACTTAAGACAAGCCAGGTCAATATGGCCAAAGAAAATTTTATATTAAGGGCTCAGTTCTGCCACTGCAAAAGAACCTTAACACAAGATTCCCTTACCAGCAATATCAAGGGATTCAGGTTTACACTGAAAGTATCTTCTACTGACACGTTCTACTAACACCTAATTCGAAGTTCATTTCATAGGATAAAAATAAGTGACAGATAATTCATTGTTTAGATAAATGTTGTATTTACTCACTATTTTACTAACAAAAGAGTAACATCATTTTACTGCAAACTTTCCCCCAAAGATATTCAATATTCACAAGGCAGCCCATTTCTATTCTAATCACCATTTGACCTTTCACCTGTCCCTACTGAAAATGGAGTAAATGTGGCTGAATGCAGTTCTTACATATTTCTAGAGGAAAGGTCTACTAGAAGTGAACACAGATAACAACACTTCCTTCAGAGGCAATACAATGATTCATTCACAAACTGAAACACGTTTGACAGGGAAAGTCTAAAAGGCAAGCCACCAATGTTGGCAAGTCATACATTAGTAATTATTTCTGACAACTAAGTTTTTCCTTCCTTGTCGGCAACCCTGGCTTTCATGATATGAAGCCAAATGAAACTTTCTGACAGATGACTTCATGTGAAGACATGACGTGCCACCCCCATCCCTCAATCTAGATATTTGGACAGCTTCCAAAAAGAATTTCAGAAGAGATGCTTTAAACATGAAACTCAAGCTTGTCTACTCTAAATCCATTCTTTTCCCTACGTGGAAATCTGACAAAACAGGAAGTACTTGGCAGGATGGAGAAGCAAGTCTTGCGGCTTAAGTATTTACTGGTAACAGACTAAGTTCTTCGTGACTGTGTAATAAAATGCAGAACTACAAATTTGAGAAGAAAACAGCAAAAACTTGCCTTGGTTACCAAGCTTCCCTTGGCAATTTAAAGGCCTTAAAAAGACAGTATATCACATGATACATAGAGGAATAAGAAACAGGAAGATGGCTTTTTTTTTTGTTATGGTACTTCATGTGAGAATCCCTCTCCCTACCCTGTCAGACCAAGATCTAAGCCACCAAAATTATACAAACACTGAAAGGAGTTTTGTGACTATATAAAAACTAAGAAACACAAAGATTCAAAACAAAACAAAACAAAGATTTCTGGTTTCGTTTGAGAGAACATACTTGGGGAAAATCTTTGGTCTACGTTTGCCGAAGGATCTGAGTATAAATACAGTATCCTAACTACAAATAAATACAAATATAAAAATACACCCTTAAATGGGCTGTTAGGATTAGCAGAGTCAATAACACACTAGCAAACATACTAAGGAAAAAAGAATCCCTCCCCCATGACTCCTTCCAGCTGCCACCCCCAGCCCCAATTGAACTGTTGTTGAAACAACTAGAAGCATTTTCAGTTAACAGTTAGTTTGTATCTTCACTTTTAAGCTATCACACTTAAGGGTACAGCAGTATATCAAAGTGCCCAGTGAATGTTAAAAACTACCAAACAAATGTAAAGCACTGTTATCTAGTCCATTTGCCTACCCCTCAAAAGCAGGTTCAGACCCACAGTAAGTCATAAAATCAATTCGTGGGTCACAACAGATTTTATAAAAAAGTGAGCTACAGGACAAAATACTGGAGGGCACTGTACTTTCATCTGTGGTGTGTATGAGCAATACACACACATACACAGAATAGAAACTTCACTATAAAGAAATTAATCCACGACCTTCCTTAGCTATTATTTCAAATATCTGTTTTACTAGAACACTTGTTATATAAAACAGTGAGGTAGGTAAGGACATTAAAGCTTCTGTCAATTTGATAATAGCAGCAACTTCCTTAAGTGCTAAAATTATCAAGTCAGTGTCTGATACTTCTGATTTTCAGAAGTATCATTTAACCTTTCAGGGATACATAAATATTAGAAATATGCTTAGGAATTCTTATTAGAAAAATATGGTGCTGGATTAGAACCGTTAAGTATTAAGAGCTGTAAATACCTAGCCCCATGTCCCTTATACTTTAAAAGCAAACACTCATGTAGAGTAATGTATCCCAACCAATGAGAACAGGCTTATGATCAGAACACAGAACACCTGGTCTTCAAATCCAGTGTTTCTACAGTAGGATACTTACTGAAATCAACATCCCATTGAACTATTGTAAAAATTCTGAGCATTTTCGAGCTAAGAGTACATAACTGCTGCTTTAGCTCTAAAAATGCCTACTATGAGCCTGATTTTTTAACTTATCTCCCCATTTCCCAACATTTCCATTTCTTCTAAATCTAGAGGCATAGACCCCGTCAATCTTACAGTAACTAAAGATCAAGTAAGTGTCCTCATGAAATGTCTCACCCAGTTCCTATTTTCAGCCTACTCCTATTTTCATGCCTAGAGGCATTACGGTATTGTGAAAAGAAAAATGTATGTACAGAGTGAGATTATGGGTTCAATAACCAATCGAGCCACGTGGTTTGTAGATTCTGTTATTGGCAGATGTACCCTTAGTACTGGCCCAACTTTTCACAAATTTGGACCACCGAGGATGAGAAGATTGGTGGGCTGGCAGATCCGTGAAAAATCAGCTGTCAGAAGAAAAATCCCTCTGGTGGTTAATTAGACATACTAGCCTTTATAAAACAATAGGAAATCATTCTAATGAAAATTCCTGACCCGTGGATAGTCCCCAGAGTGATCTACCCCCACTACACATTCTGGAATCTGACCCAATTCCTAAACCTCAAGCGATCTCTCATTTTAAGCAACTCATCAGGCAAGATGTTCCTCTTGTACAAAAACTGACAAAGCACAGTTTCACTGGCATGCATTTGTCCATTAAATGTCACCTTTTAGCTTGCTATACCTTTTATAAACTGTCACTCCACAAATGAGTGCATACTAAGTGCCAAGGCCTGTGACAGGTTCTAAACCTACAAAAGTGAATAAGGTGCAGTTCTCTGTCTGTAAGATGTCATAACTCAGCGAAGGACATATTAGTGGACAAAAAGCTAAAATGCAATACAGAAAGTGGTAGAAATCACATAAAAGGAAATATATGAAATTCATACGGACAGATTATCTATAGTTGCAGAGGTATCAAGGAAAGCATCACTTAAATAGCAGCTTTTGAATATGTGGCAATAGGGCAACGATCCAGATGGTGGGAAAAATATGAATAAAAACAAAGAACTGGGAAAAATACAGAGCTTGTGCGGTGGAGCCATGATAGTTTTAGTGTGACTGCAGCAAATAATACCTGAAGAGAAGAAGTATGAAATAAGTTTGGAGAGAGGTCAATATGACCTTCAGGAAGGGAGAGGCAAAGAGTCTAGGTGCTTTATTTCTGTATATAAATATAACATTTCTTTAAAACTCTTGAATGACAGACATTATGAAACAGCACGATACATACTAACAACACCACATAATATCTGGAATCATTCTAAGCACTTTACGTATATTAATTCATTTAATACTAATCCTAACCAGGTCAGTTCTATTACTATCCCTATTTTACAGATGAGGCAGAGATTAAATCTGCCCTAAACCACTCATCCCCACAAAAAGCCTGGCCACACCCACACATTCTAAAGCTGAAGTATCTTCTTTGCTATCCCTGAATAATTCCCTGGATATTCACTAAACTGTAGTCATCATTTCATGATGTTAAGTCAAATCACTACGCGGTACACAAACTTATACACTACTATATGTTAATACCTCAATAAAACTGGAAGAAAAAAAGAATGAAAAACTAACCTTTCTTTAACTTAGTTCAGGAATCATCTGGTTTTCCTGCGTTTATTTTACTTAATAATCCACTTTAACTTTTCAAGTTAAAACCAGAAATAAGAAAACCCTAATAAAAGCCCCAAAAAGTCTAATGGAAGAATAGAATTAAAAGTCAGAATACAAGGAATTCCCTGGCAGTCCAGTGGTTAGTACTCCACGCTTTCACTGCCAAGGGCCTGGGTTCGAGCCCTGGTCGGGGAACTAAGATCCCACATGCCACGCCACGCAGCCACAAAAGTTGGAATACAGAGAACAGTATACAGTCCAGCATATGCCTTAATCCAATTAGGGACCTTATAGGCATTTTCACAAAAGTAAGAACAGATGCTTACTGGACATTTCAAGCTCTAACTAGCATGTTTAAAACTGATTTCACTTTCCTTACCAATCAGTAGCCTTTCCTGACTTTCCAAACTGATTAATGGCACAATCTATTTCCCATTTTTTAAAATCTTGAGTTTTCTTTCTTTTTACCTCTATAATCAATTAGAAATCAAATGCTATCAACTCTTTTTTTCTCACAGTCTCTTGCTCACCTATCCTTCCTTACCCTCCCTCCAGGCCCTACTCACTCTAGTTTCACCTCATGCTGACATCACTGCAAGAGTATCTTAATTGTCTCCCCACCTCCAATTCCTGTGTCACTTCTTCAGTCATACTGGACACTATTTCCAAGTAATCGTTCAGGAATACATTTTGTCTATTCAAAAACCCTCAACACAAATAATGAAAATCAAAAGGGAAGTCTTTATGGAAAAATATCTGTAGCAAATTACTACTAAATATTATATAATAAGCTCAAAAAATTAAGGAATATCAAAACTCTAATATATAAATGGACAAAAGTCTTGAATAGACAACTTGTCTACTACTAAGAATCAGTAACTGAAATTATGGAAAGAGGTCCCACTTCACAAAAATATTACAGAGAAAAAGAGAGCTCAACATATTTTGTACCTAGTAACTTAGCAAAAGTTATAATTACAGGCTACCCAATGTTGGTAACTAAACTCACAGGGAAGGTAGTGTAAATTATAACTCTTTTGGAAAACAACATGGCAACATTTCAAAGAGTCATAAAAATGTTCATACAATGACCTTTTAAATCAATCCTAAAAGAACAGTGCAAAAAAACAGAAAATACTGTATGTACATAGATGATAATTACAGCACAATATTTAAGAACTAGAAAGAAACCTAAATGGTCCAGCAATAGGAAAATAAAGTCAGAGATAACAGAGTTTGATGGAATATTTTCAGACATTAAAATTACTGTGGAGGACTTCCCTGGTGGTGCAGTGGTTAAGAATCTGCCTGCCGATGCAGGGAACATGGGTTCAAGCTCTGGGCTGGGAAGATCCCACATGCCGTGGAGCAACTAAGCCCGTGCGCCACAACTGCGGAGTCTGTGCCCTAGAGCCCGCGAGCCACAACTACTGAAGCCCACGTGCCTAGAGCCCATGCTCCGCAACAAGAAAAGCCACTGCAATGAGAAGCCCGTGCACCACAACACTGAGTAGCCCCCGCTCGCCGCAACTAGAGAGCCCACGTACAGCAATGAAGACCGAATGCAGCCAAAAATAAATAAATAAATTAAAAAAAAAATTACTGTGGAGACCATGCAGTCACATTGAATGCCTATAACAACGTTAAGTAACAAAGAAAAATAAAAATTTCTCTGAGTCTAAAGAAAGAATATGCATACAGACAAGGAAAAAGAAAATTTTAAAAATCCAATGGTAGGGTGGGATTAGAAGTAAGTTTTTGTTTGTTTGTTTAATTCCATTTTGATTTGTAAAATTTGAAAACAAAACAAAAAATAACCTTCATTTTCTGCTCATATCCCACCTTTCAAGGCCCTCTGGAAGTTCCCAAACCTGTAAAAGACAAGCACTCTACATAATTCTGATGTGCAGCTAATTCTAGAAACCTCGACAAGCTGGCTTCACACAACTTTCCCAATGTAATCTTTAATCAGTCATCCTCTCCAAGCTGGTTCACTTACTGTCCCAAACATAGCTTTTCTTATATATTGGGTTGGCCAAGAAGTTCCTTCAGTTTTAAGTAACTATAAAAGACACATTTTTCATTTTCACCAAGAATTTTATTGAATATTCACTAACCGAACAAACGTTTTGGCCAACCCAAATAACTGCATCCTTGCTCACAAGCTCACAAGCTAGTCACTTAGAATGACTTCCTTTCTTCTAATTTTACATATTACATATCATTAACCTTGAAAAGCCTTCAATGATGGCTAAATAAATTTCTTTCTGTTCTGTATTATAAAACAATTTGTTTTTTAAAACAATTAGATCCAATTGTACACTGAACTTTGACAAATCTATTTTTCTCGTGTGCCATGATTTAAATCTTTAAAAAGTTAAACCAATCTAAATTGATGGAATCTTTTGAAATAACTATATTAACACCCACATGTTTAATTATGGTTTTCTTTTTGACAGTAAGCTTCTGAGGACAGATCCTAGTAGGAATGCCACTAGGTAATCTACCAAATCCTAAAATAATGCTCTTGTCTGCATTATATATGAAGGAAAACCAGTTATCTATGACTCCATGTGGCCATAAAATAAGCAGTGACATCTACTAGGGCAAAAGACCATACAGAGATTACAAAGGTTGCTCTGGTTGCAAATAAGCAAATTTAGTAACTTTCCAAAAAATAACAAAACCATTAGGAAAGCAGCTACATTCAACACAACAATCTGTTCTGCTTTTCAACATACACAGACAGTTACAGGAATAACTGTACAGTGGAACAAATTCTATCATTTTTAAAAAGAGATATACATGTAAAGGCAACATGGCCAATCTCGATTATTAAAGAATAGTTAAGTAAAACTGCATACCAGAATTACAATTTCAACAGAGAGCAGATCCAAGTCATTTAAAAACTGGAACACTTTCCTTCATTATTCCACAAAGCGAGGCTTCCTCTAGAAGACAAAGACTTTTTAAAGTTTTGAGTATGTTATATAGCCCACACACTCAGAACAGACTGTTTTGCTTCACTTCTAAACACTTTTCCTGATGAGATCTTTATATGTCAAGTATTTTACCATGGGTTAAAGAAAAAAAAAATCATGAAAATGTTCACAGTGTTCTGTGATTAAAAATCCAGAAATGGGAACCATATGAATGGGTAAAAAAAAAATTCATAGGGATGTTCTAATTTTGAGATTTCAGTCTAAGATACCATGATGGGAAGCTAATTTCATGCCCTCATTTGAATTCTTGACCAAATAAATAAAACATTCTGCTTTCAAAATAGCTTTTTTTCATAAAAACATTATTAAAAATTTGACCATTTTGATTTTGTAGAAACATTATTCTACTAGTTTGGGCTCATTAAAATAGGTTACAAAAATCAATTTTATCAAAATTAATTTTCATTCATTTATTCCTAAGAGATGATTTGAGTGTTCAATTAATATTCATCTATAGTTGCCTTCCGCTAAGGTATCATAAAATCTTTTAAAAAAAAAAAAGAATTGAGGAAAAAAGTCAAGAATAACTATTCTCAATGAGTTCTCTAAACCTACATTATTATTAGCAATTAGAAATCAAGTCAGTTCTGGGACTTCCCTGGTGGAGCAGTTGTTGAAGAGTCTGCCTGCCAAGGCAGGGGACACGGGTTCAATCCCTGGTCTGAGGGGATCCCACATGCTGTGAAGCAACTGAGCCCGTGTTCCACAACTACTGAGCCTGTGCTCTGGAGCCCTCGTGCTACCACTACTGAAGCCCTTGAGCCTAGAGCCCACGCTCCGCAACAAGAGAAGCCACCGCAATGAGAAGCCCGCGCACTGCAGTGAAGAGTGGCCCCTGCTCGCCGCAACTAGAAAGCCTGCGTGCAGCAACGAAGACCCAATGCAGCCAAAAAAAAAAAAAAAAAGTTTGCTCCCTTCAAAAAAAAAAAGAAAGAAATCAACTCAGTATTAAATCAAGTATTTGGAACATTAAAAAAAATTTCAAAGTTAAGACAGCATTTGTGGAATATCATGAATTTTCAGAAGAGAACTGCTGTTAAAGAAAACATAAGTTAGCTTACTTCACATATTTTGTATATGAAAGTACATAACGATTCATAAGAAACAGTGACAGAGCACATACCATGTATCAGGTAAGGAAACATAAGAGTGATTAAAACAGCAATTGCTACCCTCTGGGAGTAAAGTCTCAAACTGGGGAAGAGCCAAACAAATGCAAAGTAAATGTGATGAGAGAGGCATGTAAAGGGTCCTATGACAGTACAAAAGCACCTTGAGAATGCACAGAAAGATGGAAAACTTTAAGCCAGGCTACAAGGAAACAATAGTTAAACTCAACTAACTCTACCATAAAAAACAATGTTTTTAGTTTCCTCTAAGTGTCACTTCTGCATAGCAAAATGTTTCACTGTACAAACGCCTAACTATTCTAGAGCAAAAAATAAATTAATTTTAAGAAATTACTCTTAAGGTCCAAAAAATTCTCAAGTTTATTTTACTATATGTGTGACTTGAAAGACTGATAATTTTACCTGAATAAACAGAGACCCAGGAGAAAAAGCTCAAAAATAAAGCTAAATTAAATTTTTAAAATGGGGATTGGGGGGGAGGAGAGTAATAAAAGGAAAAAGGATAACAAAAAAAGAGCAAAAGCTTTCTGATGAAGCATGGTATAATCTCTTTGGCCTTGTATTTCCACTTATAGAAATTTATTCCAGAGAAATAATCAGGCATGTGAGGGAATATCAAGATGCCTAGAAATTTTAGGCATAGATGTCAGTTCTCAGAGAAAATCTTTTGTAAAACATGCACAAGGATATTCAGACATATTACTGCCATTATAAAAATTAAGAGATCTGGTTACATAAAATACAGTACATTTATCCTACAGGACACTATGCAGCCATGAAAAACGTGCAGCATGTTCCCAATATTTTCCAAAAAGGAAAAAAATCTGAGTGACAAAATGAGCATGACTAGAATGATCTCTATTTTGTAAAACAAAACCAGCGAAAGAGAAACCCCTCTGAATAACACATAGGTACAGTACAAACTGCAATCACCTTTTGGTGGTGGTGATACAAGAGATTTTGTTTTCTTCTTTTGGCTTTTTGGTAATTTCCAAATGCCCACTGACATACATTATTTGGATCAGATAATAACCGTTTTAAGTCGGGTAGTGGAATTATAGGTGATTACCTACCCGCTCCGACCCGAGAAGTTAAGTAGTATTTACATGTCCTATAATTTCCTTAAGAAAAAAAATTGCTTAACTTCTAAACTTACTGAAATATCTTTTCTACATGCCAAATTTTTAAATATTGAGTAAAAAATCATGAAAATGTCCACATTATTCCTTGATAAAAATATTAAGTACTTAAAAATCTAGAAATAGGACTAGCATGAATGGGTAAACAAATTCATAAGTATGTCCTAATTTTGAGACTTCATTCTAAAGTATCATATCAGGAAGCTAATCACAGACTCATTTGAACCCTTGACCAAACAAAGACTTTTCAACTACCATTCTTCCATCTTGCTATTTATGGCTCTACTTACTGGCCTCCCTAATTCTAAAGATTTTTACAGACATTAGAACTCACCTCAGTAATACTTCCGGATGTTTGTCACTTAACTGTCCTTTTCTTCAGACCAACTGCCAAAAAAACCCCAACAAATCATTAAATCACTCGATCATTTTCTAGTCTGGAGCCCCACCAATACAGCAATAGGGTTCAAAACAGAAGTATTATGAGGATAATTTTAAGCAGCTATTCAGATCAGTGTGACTAGGTCACTCAGCAGAAATACTAACATGCATTTCATTTTCTTAACAATTCTGAAAAAATCACTGTTACGAATGAAAAATCGATGCAGCCTTAGTTAACATGTCCTCTTAACGAGTAAGTTTAGTCAACGTGGATTACCGTCGATATTTTACATTTTTTTAATTATTTCATTCTTTAAAACAACTTGCCAATCAATACTCTATTTCCACCATTTCAAATGTGGTTTTGTTTTCTTTAACAGAACACAAGATCGTGCTAATGGAACGAGATCAATGGCTATCCTGAACAAAATCCTATCGGGGAGGCCCTTGTATTTTTATCTAAGGTGTGTCCCGTCCCTGCAAAACCACTGCTCGCTCCTTTCAAAAAGCAGCCTAAGCCTCGTGCAGCGTGGCACAGCTACTTGTCTAAGGCCAGAGCGGCAGCGTCTGTGCTAGCTAGGGAATTCCTCAGCACCCCAAGCCCAGCGTTTCCTTCATTTTCCTCACTGCTTAAACGCGTGACCAGCACGCGGAAACCCCTCCCCACGCAGGACCGGTTTGCCTCAGAACCCTGCCCTCCCTGTCTTAATTAAGGAGGAGCACACAGCCGGTGGCCTTGGTCGCAGAACGTGACAAGCTGCCGAAATCCACTTCCAAAGGGAGGAAGCACTGCTCTGAGAGGAGCGGCATCCCGAACATCTCTCACACTCCCGAGAGAAGTCCAAAGGATCAGCCCGGAGAAAAGAGACGTGCACGTCCCCTCCGCCTCTTTCTCTAGGGCCGCGAGAGAAGAAGCCTCGCCCCCTCTCAGCCCGCCCCCAGCTCCCCACCCAGCCGCAGGGAGAACTTACTCTGCTATGGCTGCCGAGCGGCCCCTTCACTTCCGGTGCCGGTGCCGCTAGAGCTGCGCCATCCCCCAGTCCACCGGACAACTACCGCTTCCAACTGACCTTTCTGACAGATCGCTACTCTTCCGATCTTCACTAGGTGCTGTCCTGGAGGGAACGGTGGGTGGCTGCCGCAGTTAAATGAATCCACGGGATAAAGATTCCGCTCTCGTCTCGCCAGAAACATAAAATACGGTAGACCTGCAGCCACCGCTGCCCAGACAAAATGGCGCCGAGAAACTGGTTCAGCGCAGGCGCTTTGGAAAGACCCTGCCCCGCCCCCGTGCAAGTCCTGGCCACAGCTCCGGGTTCGGTTTCCATGGGACACCCCACCGCCAATCCTCGTGCCGAACTGCTCTTCCTGACCCCTCAATTGACCAATCAGTGCTCAGTTAAGTACATCCGGAGTCGTCTTTACCAATCATTTTTCAGGACTTGCTTACTCAATACCTGATTCTCCAGTAACGTTAGTCTTCGGAGGCAGCCAATCATAAGTGGCAGATGTCCTACCTGCTGTTTTTCGCACCAATCCGTGAAGTTTCAGAGCTACATCCAATGAGGACGGCAGGTAGCGAGCTCCAATCCGAAACTCTTCGGCGTCATGAGCAGCCAATAGGAGTTCGTGTAGAAGCGAGTCTGCTCAACAGCTTGTTATTTGGTGGATTGTGGCAGTAAATCGGGCGAGTGGGGAACGGGGCGCAGGAACTGCTGCCGCGGCCGGGAGTGGTGCTGCCCGGACTGGGGCCCACGGGGGTCAGTGGGGCGGAGGACTCGGGGGCTGACAGCGCGCACTTCACCGGCAGTTGGTAGGTGGGGAGAAGAGAAGCGGGGGATACTGAATGGAAGAAGCGGCGCTAGCAGCTGGTGCTGCTGCCCGGGGTCCCGGTGCAGTTGGAAGCTTTGGAGGTGGGGAGGGGGATGCTTGGCAAGCGGGGCGGCGAGCGCAGGGGAAGGGGCAAGTCGTGGAGCAGAGGCAGCAACTGCGGGAACAGCCGCCGCAGCTGCCTCCTCGGCCGCTTCCCCGGGTTCCCCGGGAAAATGGCTGTGGGCTGGCCGCGCCGCTAAGTTTGCTTCCGCGAGGCGAGGAGCGGGCTGCTTGGGGCAGCCGGCCCCCAACTCCCCAGTGCGTCCTCCCCCGTGGAGTCCGTGGTTGGACCCGAGGGACTGGGGGCTGGTACTGCTCTGGGTTGTACAAAAAGTTGAGGCGGGCGCGGGGAGGAGGCGGCGGCTGCCGCTGTGCGGCTCCCCTCCCCTCCCACACCCTGTCCGGGCCACCTCCCCTCCTTTTCTCCGCCCCCCCAGCCTTCTTCCCCTCGCGGGTCTTCCCTCCCTCGCGCGCCTCGGGGCTGAAGGCCACGGCCCCTGCCCCTTCGGGTGAAGAAGTGCTTCTCCTTTCTGATATGGTGCAGAGGAAAGGAAGGAGAGCAATGGCGCCGTGACACTCCGCTGCCGCCACCGCGGGCCCGGGGCGGGCGGAGGGGGCCGATCGGCGGAGGCGGGGCGCGGGCCGAAGTCGGGGTATCCGGGGGGCGGCTGAGCTCGGCGACCGCGCCTGTGGGGGGCCCGGGGAAGCCCAAACGGCGCCCTGCCCTTCTCCAGAGCGACCCGTCCTGGGGCTCTGAGTTGAGCATTCCGGGTCAAAGTGGCGAGCGAGGCGGGGGCGCGGTGGGCCGCTGGCGAACTCCGCGGCGGAACCCACTGCCCTTTGGCGCCCGTGGGGTTCTTGCCACCCCCTCGGCTCCTGCGTCCTGGCTGCCCTCGGAGGGGATCTTATCCCTTCCCTGGTGAGGGTTCTGCCCCTCCCCGCTGGCGTTTGTTTACTTTCTTTCCCCGGGTCGCTCCCCTCGTTGACTGATTCTGTGCCTGTCTTTCCCCTCCCCTTGGTTCCAGCGACGGAGAAGATAGCTCGTTGAGCTGGAACCCCACAGATCACCAGTGAAAATGAAGGTAAGTAGAGTCGACGCTGCTCGGAACCTCGTGCCCTGGACACTGACTGTCGTGAGGCCAGTGCTATGGAATGTCATTTTTTTTGCTACTCAAAATTGATTCGTCTGCTGAGCAGCGCTTTCTGAAAATGAGGACGTGTTGAATGGGTGAGAGATGATCATTGTGTCTAAATGCGGTCAGTTGGGCCCCTCTCCGAAGCAGTTAGCACTTTGGAAAGGCTGCTGCAGCCTTTCCATTGTTGTCCATTGGGCTAGTATTTTTAAACACTTCCTGTGTTGGCAGCGACCTTTGCAGAAGTAAAGCTTTTGTCCTGCTTTGGTTCTTTGGGGGATTTTTTGATTTTTTTTTTTTCTTCCCCAGTGCCAATGCGATTTTCTAAGGAAGGAATGTGTGGATTGTGTAAGGGAGATACCATTTCTTCTGGGGATAAAGTGAAATTTTGTGGGTAAAATATTTGAAGGTGAACTAAAACTAAGTATTATTATATATTATTATTATAACTAATAATACTTAATTTTAGTTCAGTAAATATTTTAAATGTATATCCAACCTAAAAAAAATTCTTCTGAAGACAACAAATATTGCAAACATCGTATGTGATGTTTAAAGGGAAAGGAAGGTATAACATCCTGCAGTTCCGTGGCATTGAATGTTTCAGGTCAGATATTTATTTGCAAAAAGTATTTCTTTTCAATTTGCGTTATTCGTAAATGCACTAACTTTAAACTTGATTCCTTACTCATTTACTCTTTCAGTGTATTAAGCTCTGAAATACAGGATTTTCCCAAACTTCCTCTTGCTTTCTTATCTCCTTGAAATGACAGTGTACCTTTTTTAATGTTAGTTGGGAAAACTTAATGAAAAATCATTTTCTACTTGAAAGTATTTCTCTGAAGTGTACACTGTCACCTTTGCACTTAGCATTGTTGAGTTGAGCTTCTATGAATACACTTAACTTTTGGAAAATATTCTTAAAATGACAGATTGAGATAGCAGTCATTCTGTTACTGTCAAGATTAAAATGAATGGTGGAGTGGAATTTCTCACATCTTTCCATGTATCATTCTGATCACGGACATTTGCTAAAAGTAGATATTTCTTTGTGAAACTTTTTTTTTTAAATATACCAAGAAGATTAATATTGATAAACTAGGTACAGCTACCCTCAGTTCACATCTCTGCATTCATCAGTTAATTTAGATTTAAAGCTTTAAAATGCAGCTTTTAGCCAATGATTTTTCTAAATAATGCTCTCCTTATCAAAAGGGTTGGCTTCATTTATTATCTGTACAGTTATTATGTATCCAAAAACAGTTGCCTTTATGTAGCTATATTAATAAACATTTGGGCTTCCCTGGTGGCGCAGTGGTTGAGAGTCCGCCTGCCAATGCAGGGGACGCGGGTTCGTGCCCTGGTCCGGGAGAAGATCCCACATGCCGCGGAGCGGCTGGGCCTGTGAGCCATGGCCGCTGGGCCTGCGTGTCCAGAGCCTGTGCTCCGCAACAGGAGAGGCCAGAACAGTGAGAGGCCCGAGTACCGCAAACAAAACAAAACAAAACAAAACACATTTAATTATGTATTTGTTAGTGTTAATTTTAATAGCAATATTTCTTTTAATTTGAAAACAAAATTTCAGGAGGCCATAACTAACTTAAAGTTTTATGAGACACTTAAAATAAATATACCTTTTCTGGATTTTTAAATTTTTTCATTTCTTAAATATATTATAAAATTGTTGAATCATTTTGTATCTGAATGAAAAAACATTATATTTCCTACTGATACTTTCTAGTTACAATTTAAATTGTTTTATGTTTTCACGATATAGTTTATAAAGTAAAGGATTGCTACTAAAGTGTTTGCTTTAGGGATATTTTTCAAATTATCAATGATATTAATAAGCAAATAATGTTAATGTTCTTATTACTTGAAATACAGAACCTTTTGATGGGACTTGGGGTTGGAGTAGGGGAAAATAGTAGTGACATTCATATTGTATGTTCCTTTCATCAGGCGGCGGATGAGCCTGCCTACCTGACAGTGGGAACTGATGTCAGTGCCAAGTACCGAGGTGCCTTCTGTGAGGCAAAAATTAAGACTGTGAAAAGGCTGGTAAAAGTTAAGGTAATTTTTTTTTTAATGGAACAGCTTTATTAACTCGATTGAAGAGAATTAGGGATGGAATTCGGAGACTACAAATCAACATTTTATTTACTGAACTATTACTTCACTTCGTGAATCATTACTATGTGAAAGCACTGTTATATACAAAACTATAGGAAAAGCACACTAAGAATTGGGAAATAAAGAACTCAAGATGAGAAATTATTCCAAGTGCTTCCATGAAATACCATACTCATGATACTTCCCATCATTTGGATCTTTCCTGTTTGCGGTAGCATGCTTACTTAGGCTATAATCTGTTTTCTCTCCTTTCATGTTATTCAGGTAGCGATGATTTCAAGTAATTAGAAAAAACAATAGATTACTAAAAACAAAACAGTGGGAATTATCATTTCAAGACAGCGATAAAAATGACTTAAGAATTTTATCCTAAGATAATTTTAAGATGCTTTTGTGACCAGGAAAAAAGTTATTGATTGCTGTACAATATTTGGAAGTACAGAAAAGTACTGAAGGATTAAAAGCCATAGTTGACCTCAGAAATCCTACTATTATCATTTTGTGTTTACTCCTAGTAATTTTTCTATATAAATGCTTTTAATAATCTTAGTTACTTAGACTACAAAGGTAATCCGTGCTTATTATAAAGTTTTTAACATTGTGGAACTGTATAATAATGGAGGTCCTCTGTGATATTACTCCAAAGAGCCTTTACGTGTTCTACCAAATTCTGTGCTGTGCCTTTCAGTAACAGTGTTGATGTTATTATTATCATTGGATCATTCTGTACTTTCAGTTTTGCAATTTGCTTTTCACTTACATATGTGATCCTTTCCTACAAAAATTAAGCACCCTGGAAGGAGGAAATGTTTCCCTTGTTCTGTTCACAATACCTAGAGCAGTGCCTTATAAACAGGGGGCGCTCAGAATGTGTTGAATGAATAAGTGAACAGTGGACCCAGGACCAGCAGCATCAGTCTCACCTGAGAACTGGTTTAAAATGCAAATTCTCAGGCCCCCACCCCAGACAAACTGAGTCAGAAACACTGAGGATGGGGTCCTGTGATTGTGTTATAACAAGCCCTTCAAGTGTTTCTGATGGCATGTTGAAGTTTGAGAACCATTAAACTAGAGGAGTGTGATTTGTGTGGTAGACAAATAGAGTTATCTAT